AATAACTACAATCACATAAAAACACATTTCTATAATCACAATAAAAGACAATAAATTACAACAGATATTTAAAAAGAGAACACAGGGTTAAAGTCAGGAGTCGTGCTCCGCTCTGATTTAATGAGTTAAATTAGGTGAGATCAGTCTTGGTATTGCTTAGTAAGCTAAATGAATGCTCTATTCACTTGTTAGCATGACTTTATTTGTGTGAAACAATCTCAGTAAATGCCAAAATGACATTGGATTGACCATTAAGAGAAAATAAGTGGTATCTGTTGCATTTAAATGAAACAAACAACAGCAATTCTTCTATCCAAGACCTTCCTGGTACCACGGGATACATTTGTGTGTGTTTGCTCAAGAAAAAGCGCCTAAAAAGAGCCCCTCTCTTCCTTCTCTTTCCTGGAAAGTATTTTGTCTCTCTGGTGGCACCGTGTTCGGCTGATTGTGAGTCAGCGGCTGATTAATTCCTCTCATTATTATTCCCGCAGCATCGGGCCGTCAGACTGATCACAGACCAGCGGCTATTGATCTGCTGTGGCGCGACCCACTTGTTAATTAACACAGTTTCAGGAGCTGATGAAACAGAGGGGGGGGGGGTCTAATGAATCTGTAAGGCACTCTGTGGCTAGACATAGTTGATAATAGAAGCATGCTGCAATAATAGAGAGAGTTCAAATCCAATATCGTTGTTGGTGCTGAATTAAAAAAATAAAAGTAGTATCGATTCTCACCTTGATGACAGATTGAGTAATCCTCTGTTTATCTTCTTGGCTATGCTGATGATTCATTCTGCATCCATGTTGCGTCCTTTTGTCCCAATAAATCCCGTCAATACATTCCTTCATTCACGCGTCCAATTTAGAAAAAGCCAGCTGTCCATCTAAAGTGTTGAGGAAGAGTCGGTGGGTCCTTCAGAAGCCGGAGGGGGGGTGTTTGGGATTTGTTTCAGATGGGAGATGAGTGGAGGAAGAATCCAAATTGTGTGTTTATCTGAGGTGTGGGAGGGCATTATTTTGGGGAAGACAGGGGAGTGGGAAGGCTCCTCTGGAAGATCATAGACATTCTCAGAAACGTCCTGAGGGCAACGAAATACAGCGTTCTGGGAGAAGAACAAGGCCATAAAACAAAAAGGTCCTTGGAAAAATAAAGCCCCCCACTGAATCCAACCCTCAACCTCTCAGAGATTCACTGTTTATACACGACGGTCAGGATCCTCCATTTTGTCTGAGAAGATATCCAGCTGAGAGAGAACAATGGTGGCCGGGGTTTAGCCTGCGAGTCCCACACAAACACTTCATGTACAATAAACAAAGTCACAGGAAATCAAAGAAATCTGCTCCGCAGATTATTCCAGAAAGAAAGTTCCAGAAACTGCCCGAGAGAAGGAGGAAGAAAAGGTAAGATCTCCCCCCCCCTCCCTCGCTTTTCCTTCCAGACCATTAAAGGCACTCCAGATTGGCCTCTCGGAAGCACTTTTCCAGCCGTCTATCCATAAAATGCAAGAAGCGTCCCATTCTCCAAAAACAACAAAAAAGGGCAAGGTCTGATTCTTTAAAAAAAAAAAGTGCCATTTTTGCCACTTTTTTCTTTTTTTCTTCAACATCTTCTTTTCTTTTAGATCCAATTTAAAGTGCATGGATGAGGTAAACTATTTTTCTCCATAGTTTATTTGTCTCTTTTTTATATTTATTTACTTTTTATGTTATTTATTTTATTTAACGCTTCCTTTTCCTTCTCTATTTCTTGTTGAAAAATCGCTCAGACGGGAACCATTCTGCCTTGCATCTGTTGCATTTGGGACAGCATTCCCTGCACGCTGGTCAGGATTTTGTTCTGGTGTGCAGATGAGGAGATGCCGATGCGCCCCATGTCCCTGCAAAGGATAAGGAAAAAAAAAACTTTTAGGAACAGGGACAACGATAACACACATGTCGGCCTGGTGATGATTTTCACAGCCTTGCTCTGGAGAACTGCCCTGACACTTTAACGGCTGTTTAAGGGATTTCACTTGCCAACACAGCAGTCCTAATCCTGTAATCTTAACGGCCGAGAAATGAAAATATAACCGACAAGTGACAGACTGAGAAACATTTAACACATGTGGACTTTGCAAAATGTGTCGCAGATTGATTCTACTTTTATATACACATATCTGCTTTCTCGCTGAGAGATATAGGAGGAGATTGACTCTTTATATAAAGCTTCTTATTTCTACTTTTAACTTGTACCAACTGGCACTATATTACTTCCTTATTTCTTTTATGTCTTAACTATATTAGGCGCTTTCACACCGGAGTACTTTTACCCGTACTTTTCCCGTTTAGTTCCGTTAGTGCCTGGAATTTTGCGTTCACACCAAAAAGAGAACTTAGTTCATGAGAACTTTTACCCCCATTTTTAGTGCCTGCTAGAGAGGTGGGACTATCCCGGGGAGAAACAAGTACCAATTTCTGATTGGCTGGGCGGATTGCAAACCACGCCCCGTAAAACTCTGAAAAGTTATTTGAAGCCGCCATTTTATTTGCTGGCATTAGCATTATTAGCATTAGCATTAGCCCCGCGCACCAACGGAGAGAGACTAACTTATGGCAACACATACAAAAACATGGGAGCGGTGGAGATGAGGAGGTGTCGGTGTTCTGGCGATTTACTCGGAAGGCTTCAGTAGAAGCTGCTGGGAGTCCCAGCAGCTTCTACTGAAGCCAGTCCCCAACTCCGGGGACTTCCGGCCCGGGGACTTCGGGTGGCAGTATACGCCGTGAAGTGGTTTGCGGCCTGCCAGTAAACCCAAAGCAGAAGAAGGAGAAGTGACGTCAGCGGCTTCATTTGCGTAATCTTCCCTCAGGGAACTTATTCCGGTGTGAACGCGATCTGTACTTAGTTCCATGGGGGTACTAAGTGCTGGCACTAAGTGCTGGGAACTAAGTGCTGGGTACTAAGTGCTGGGTACTAAGTGCTGGGTACTAAGTACGGCAAAGTAGCCTACTTGGTGTGAAAGCGGCTATTGTATGTTTTCCTGGAGGAGCTTGAGACTTAAAATGTTCTTTCCAACAACTTCGCTGTAGCTATTTTCCATATAAATAATAACGCCTTTCAATCTTGTGACAGATTACCATTTAACCCTTTGTACAATTTAGTGGTGTTGCTAGGCAGAATATAAACCATTGTATAGATCCAGCCTAGATGTTTTCTCTTGTTTTTTATGCTAAGTTAAGCTAACTGGCTACTGGATGTTGCTTGATATGTAACAGATTACAGTGATATCACATTTAAATAGGTGTGTTTGGCAAACCATTAAACTACTCCTATTCCTATTTAAAGATTAATATATTTAAAAAGTGACTAACAATATTGTATTTCAATCAAAATTAATCTCTAAAAAAGAAGCAATTTCACTTCACTTTTTTTGCAGAAATGAAAAACATATTCTTGTGATGTATCCTTCAATTTCTAGAATAACTCATCTTAGTCTTTTAATAAGTGAACAATTCACCTTACAGTTTTCTTCTACTAAGACTAAATAAGTGCAAGTAAGACTAATAAATGTCCCACTAACTTGCACCTTCTTCACTTCCCCTCTCTACTCCCCACCTTTTATATCCCCCTCCCCACTCACTCTTGTGTCATGTGCACCACGGCCTCTGGAGAGGTGTATCCGGCAGCGGTGAAGTTGTCCCGGTATTTCTCCATGCCGATGGCCTGCAGCCAGTCCTCCACCGTGCCCACGGACGAGGACGCCGCCTCGGGGCTCCCCGGCTCCAACAGGGTGGTGCTCGGCCTGGTGGGTGGAGGAGAGGACGGGGGGGGGAGTTAATAATAGTGTCATCATTTACAGACAGTGTTTGGTTCTCCAGCTGTAGCCCATAAACCACAATGTCTGTGCAACTGTCTGTGTAAATAGACGATAACAGTTACGAAATCCACTTTGTTACACACTCTGGAACACCATTGAATCATGACAACAAAAACAACATGGAGTGGTGCTTAGAGGATTTTGTTTGTTAGCTGAACAGGATGTTAGCATCTCAAAGGGCTCCGTCGACAAAAAGCCAATGGGATTTGAACATTGAATTTCGTAATAATGCGGAAAATAAAATCTTTGGCAAAGAAACATTTAGTTACAAAGGATAATCTCCACATGTACTACACACACTTTTATGAATTTTGAAGCGTTAATGCCATCTCCAGAAGCAAAAAGGTAACGTTAGGCTATAAATGAACTTCACGTCTTCACCGCTAAGCTAAAGGCGGCTAATGTTGGACGTGATGACGTTTAGTCGTCTCATTTCGTCACAATTGTTATGACACATAGACGCTTCATACATTCAGCAGTGGGGTGTTTACTGATATATTTGTTTTGCTTCAGAACGAAACATCGCTTTTGGAAACAGCAGAACTTACAGTATATCTAAACTTCTAAACACGTTTAAAAAACAATTGACTTTTGGGGCGAAGGAACCAGAAGTGGTAAAATGCTGACTCATATCCAGGTTTAGGGGCTACTTTCTTGCCTCTCTATTACATGAATTATAGTCTCTATATTCCTGGCTGTGATGCTGCGCTGAAGTATCATAAAGGTGTGACCAATCACCTCGTGCGATGACAGGAAGCTATCCTCAAGCTGTCAGAGAGCTTCATGCTACATTTCTCTCAAGCTTTTCCTCCTCCTGTGAGGTTCAGATCGCTTTTGTGTTACCGTCTTGTGGGTCCTACCAGAAACCGAGCCAAGCCAAACACAGTTCCTCTCCTGGGTGTGACCGACACACTTAGTTAATCCTTATTTTACAGAAAATACACAACCCAGGCACACCTCGGTGAGTTTTACCGCCCGCTGGAGGACCTGCTCACATTCACATATTCATCAGCAGAATTACCTCCCGCTCTGTTCACTTCCTTCTCTCTCCTTTTCTCAAGCTTTCCCATTCTGTAGCAGTGCCGTCGGCCATGAAACATTTACATGGGGCCGGTGAGTCTGAGACGGTGGCGGTCTTGTTACGCTTTGGTAACTCTCACACACACACACACACGCACACACACACACACACACGTTCTACTTCCCCCCTTCTCTCTTGTAACTGTAAAAGCTGCATTTATAGAATTCAGTTCTGCTAATTACTCCATGAGGACTCCCCTCTTGCTCTCTCTCTGTGTCCCATTAGGGTGAGAGTGTGTGAGAGTGTGTGTGAGAGTGTGTTTTGCTCACACACTCGTTAAAGTCAAACAGACTGCGGCTAGTCTGTAAACACACGTAGGTCATCCCGAACACATTTAGCCGCTCGAGAGTAATGGTGTCGGAGCCGCCGAGGTCATGTTTGTTTTTAACTTGCCGTTACATCGTAATTCCCCCCCCCCCCCCCCCCCCCCTACATTCCTGAGTGTACAGCACCATTAAACCTGGTTTGCAGAAAAATCCATTACAGAGGGTGTTTGTGCTGAAAAGTGCCAAACGTCGCTGGTAGATAATGTTTAATGGTGAATGCAAACACCAACGAGAGAAATGGAGTGTGTGTGTGTGTGTGTGTGTGTGTGTGTGTGTGTGTGTGTGTGTGTGTGTGTGTGTGTGTGTGTGTGTGTGTGTGTGTGTGTGTGTGTGTGTGTGTGTGTGTGTGTGTGTGAGAGGGGTAGAATGTCACGCATTGTGCAGTAAATATGTTGCATAGGTGTGTTTATGCACATTAAACACAGCAAATGTTCGGGGTTTTAGCTGCTAACTATTAACTGTTCTTTGTTTTTAAAGACAGCTGGAGCATTCGATGATAGGGCTATAAAACGTATTTCTGGTTTGGAAGCGTTGAGTGAGTGTGAGTGTGAGTGTGCGGTATTTTAGTCGAGCCAAATTCATAACCACAGTTGCAAAGAATATGTGAAACCAACGTGTATACTAGTTATATTCCTGGATTGTGTGACTTTTTTCTAAAAGGTTGGGATATTACGAGCATTTTCAGCTAATTAACCACATTTTAAATGGTGAATCCTTATTTTACAACATAACTTTTTTTCCTAAGTTCGTGGTGGCTTTCAAAGAAAACTGTGTGCTCACTGCAGTCTTTATTATGCTTACTTCAGGTTCATATCAGTATGTAGTGTCTCTCCTGGGACATGTCTCCATGCTTTAATGTTCAAAAAGCTCTGTATTTCTCTCATACTGCCTGTGCTGCAGCACCTCTTCTCACCCTCTGTCTGAAACCAGAGCCCAGTCTGCTCTGATTGGTTAACTGGCCGCCTCTATTGTGATTGGTCAACCGCTTAGATATGTCCCGCCCCCTTAGTCTATCACGTACAATGTGTTGGAGCGCTAGCCAATAAAAGCGCAATTTGTACTTATTGATGTCATTATGTTATGGAAGTAAACAAAAGAGTCCGATCGAAAACAATTAGCGTTTTTCGGCTGTGAAACAAAGACGAGTGTCACGTTTTTTTTGTATTCAGCTTCTGCATAATAAAGTATTAAACATAAGAAGTACAATAACCGCTTAGAGATGTCCCGCCTCTTAGTCTATCACGTACAATGTGTTGGAGCGCTAGCCAATTGAAGCGCGAGTGCTACATAGTGACAGTTCAATAGAAACTCCCTCTGAAGGGAACTTTGAGATTTAAGCCTTTGCAGACCATTTACATGCACACAAATCTATATAACACATTACAGGAAAGGGAAACACCCCTTTCATATTACTATTTTTCTTTGATTTGAGTGCCTCCTCACCTGACAGCCGTCTCCCCTCCGGTCCTCTTCAGAGTGTTGGGGTTTCGGATCAGTTTGTCCAGCATGTTGACGATCTGTCCGAACTTCGGCCGGTCGGCCCTCTCTCGCTGCCAGCAGTCCAGCATGAGTTGGTGCAGGGCCACGGGGCAGTCCATGGGGGGGGGCAGCCGGTAGCCCTCATCGATCGCCTTGATTACCTAAACACAAGATCAATGGTACTGTAAGTGGCTTTGTTTGTGCGGAAATTAAAAGTTTGATAACACCCTCTCCTAACGTTATACCCACACAATTTGTATCCACATTACTTCAGGCACCTACGCAAGAAATGTGGAAATGCATAAATTCAACTCTTTATCATCATTAGCACCGATAGCTGCAATGTTTAATGAGAAAAGGGAATATATCGTTGCAGTTTTATCACCCCTGGAGGTAATTTGATTACAACTTAATATGATGAATTATCTTTTGAAAACGTTTGACGGCACACATGCAACTGGGAATTATTACTCAAGCTGCGAAATCAAACCTAATTCCCGCTGTATATTATTTATGTTTGTCCCCGTGTTCAATTACATTTCCTCACGACTTACGTCTTGGTTGCTCATGTCCCAGTATGGTCGCTCGCCGTATGACATCACCTCCCACATGACGACGCCGTAGCTCCACACGTCGCTGGCCGAGGTGAACTTCCTGTAAGCGATGGCCTCGGGGGCCGTCCAGCGGATGGGGATCTTCCCTCCCTGTAATTGAAAGATGGGATCATTAATGAAAGCCGACAAGCAAGGTGACGCGCAGACAGGAAGACCACATGCTCCCCCAACAGAGGTGGGAAGTAGTGGAGTTCAAATACTTCGTTGCTGTACTTAAGTATATTTTTCTGGTATCAGTACTTTACTCCACTACTTATTTTTCTGACGACTTTTTACTTTGACTTCTTACATGTTGAACACAAATACCTGTACTTTCTACTTCTTACATGTTGAACACAAATACCTGTACTTTCTACTTCTTACATTTTGAACTCAAATACCTGTACTTTCTACTTCTTACATGTTGAACATAAATACCTGTACTTTCTACTTCTTACATGTTGAACACAAATACCTGTACTTTCTACTTCTTACATGTTGAACACAAACACCTGTACTTTCTACTTCTTACATTTTGAACACAAACACCTGTACTTTCTACTTCTTACATTTTGAACACAAACACCTGTACTTTCTACTTCTTACATTTTGAACACAAATACCTGTACTTTCTACTTCTTACATTTTGAACACAAACACCTGTACTTTCTACTTCTTACATGTTGAACCCAAATACCTGTACTTTCTACTTCTTACATTTTTAACTCAAATACCTGTACTTTCTACTTCTTACATTTTGAACCCAAATACCTGTACTTTCTACTTCTTACATTTTGAACTCAAATACCTGTACTTTCTACTTCTTACATTTTGAACACAAATACCTGTACTTTCTACTTCTTACATTTTGAACTCAAATACCTGTACTTTCTACTTCTTACATTTTGAACACAAATACCTGTACTTTCTACTTCTTACATGTTGAACACAAATACCTGTACGTTCTACTTCTTCCATTTTGAACTCAAATACCTGTACTTTCTACTTCTTACATGTTGAACACAAATACCTGTACTTTCTACTTCTTACATGTTGAACACAAATACCTGTACTTTCTACTTCTTACATGTTGAACACAAATACCTGTACTTTCTACTTCTTACATTTTGAACTCAAATACCTGTACTTTCTACTTCTTACATGTTGAACACAAATACCTGTACTTTCTACTTCTTACATGTTGAACACAAATACCTGTACTTTCTACTTCTTACATGTTGAACACAAACACCTGTACTTTCTACTTCTTACATTTTTAACTCAAATACCTGTACTTTCTACTTCTTACATTTTGAACCCAAATACCTGTACTTTCTACTTCTTACATTTTTAACTCAAATACCTGTACTTTCTACTTCTTACATTTTGAACACAAATACCTGTACTTTCTACTTCTTACATTTTGAACTCAAATACCTGTACTTTCTACTTCTTACATTTTGAACACAAATACCTGTACTTTCTACTTCTTACATGTTGAACACAAATACCTGTACGTTCTACTTCTTACATTTTGAACTCAAATACCTGTACTTTCTACTTCTTACATGTTGAACACAAATACCTGTACTTTCTACTTCTTACATGTTGAACACAAATACCTGTACTTTCTACTTCTTACATGTTGAACACAAATACCTGTACTTTCTACTTCTTACATTTTGAACTCAAATACCTGTACTTTCTACTTCTTACATGTTGAACACAAATACCTGTACTTTCTACTTCTTACATGTTGAACACAAATACCTGTACTTTCTACTTCTTACATGTTGAACACAAACATCTGTACTTTCTACTTCTTACATTTTGAACACAAACACCTGTACTTTCTACTTCTTACATTTTGAACACAAACACCTGTACTTTCTACTTCTTACATGTTGAACCCAAATACCTGTACTTTCTACTTCTTACATGTTGAACCCAAATACCTGTACTTTCTACTTCTTACATTTTGAACTCAAATACCTGTACTTTCTACTTCTTACATTTTGAACACAAATACCTGTACTTTCTACTTCTTACATTTTGAACTCAAATACCTGTACTTTCTACTTCTTACATTTTGAACACAAATACCTGTACTTTCTACTTCTTACATTTTGAACTCAAATACCTGTACTTTCTACTTCTTACATGTTGAACACAAATACCTGTACTTTCTACTTCTTACATGTTGAACACAAATACCTGTACTTTCTACTTCTTACATTTTGAACTCAAATACCTGTACTTTCTACTTCTTACATTTTGAACACAAATACCTGTACTTTCTACTTCTTACATTTTGAACTCAAATACCTGTACTTTCTACTTCTTACATTTTGAACCCAAATACCTGTACTTTCTACTTCTTACATTTTGAACACAAATACCTGTACTTTCTACTTCTTACATTTTGAACTCAAATACCTGTACTTTCTACTTCTTACATGTTGAACACAAATACCTGTACTTTCTACTTCTTACATGTTGAACACAAATACCTGTACTTTCTACTTCTTACACTTTGAACCCAAATACCTGTACTTTCTACTTCTTACATTTTCCAAACAGGCTGGTTCCTTTAGTCTGAATGTGTGTTTGGTGGCGTGATCATTATTATTTAGAGTCATTGCGTGCCTATTGATTTGAACACGATCCGTGTATCCATCACTTCCTGGTCTTCTCTAAAGAAGAAGGACCAATGAAAACGTTGTCATGTTGCCGTTGTTCAGCATGGAAACATTCATTAGCTAACAATGACATTATTGTTCTATTAATATAAAGGGAGGTCAGGTACTCTTTAAAACAGCTGCTAGTTATGGGTACTTTTTACTGAAGTACATTGCAAAGCCCTCTTTACTTTTACTTGAGTAAAGAAGTTTAGTCAGTACTTCTACTTTGACCAGAGTATTTTTAAACACGAGTATCTGTACTTCTACTTGAGGATGTGTGTACTTTTGCCATCTCTGTCCCCCAAAGTCTATATGGCCTGCGCTCCCAAGATGTTATGCAGATGCTGGTTCCTAAAGTGAGAACAGAACTAGGTAAAAAAGCTTTTAAATATGCGGCCCCTTCTGCTTGGAATAATGTACAGACGGAGCTGAAACTGTCAGATCTGATCACTATGGGGGAATTCAAGTCCATCTTATAGGAAGAGTTATAGAGTTTGATGGCCAATGAGACTCTACCTGGTTAAATAAAGGATATATATATATATAAATGCTCACCCTGGTGGTGTACGCAGCCTCCGGGTCGTCCTCCAGCACTCGGGACATGCCGAAGTCGGACACCTTGCACACCAGGTTGCTGTTCACCAGGATGTTTCGAGCCGCCAGGTCTCTGTGAACGTAGCTCATGTCCGACAGGTACTTCATGCCCGACGCGATGCCACGCAGGATGCCCACCAGCTGGATCACCGTGAAGCGCCCGTCGTTCTTCTGCAGGGGGAGAAATGTAATGTTTAGACAATGTTCTTCACATCATCTCACTGGCATATTTACTGTTTTACCTAAACATACAACTGCAAACATTTCACATTTGTCCTGGTGGCAATAATGATAACTCTATTAATATGACTGTATTACTACTATTATATATTTTTGAATTGATTTCATTAGATAGAGAATTTAATACATATTGAATACAGAGCATGAAACTAAAGTGCTGTTGTCTCATCTTAATACATTATTTATAACTTTTGCTGTCAGAGAATATTTGGGCATTTGTAGACTCATACTACAGTTAAGGATTGTTTTGTTTCGTACATGTTAATATGTGTTTTTATGCGTTTTTATATACAATTAATACAGCTACTCTTATGTTAACAGTTAGGGATTGTTGATAATCCTTACAGTATGTTATGAAGCACTGTTTGTCGGCATGTAACTGTATGAATTATAACCAAAAAAAATAGTTTACAATACAAATTGCAATGAAACTGTTAGCAATAAGAGTTATGAGAAAACAATTAAAAGCCTCCCTGTATTTGCTTACAACAACAACAACAAGGTGTTATTGGTGCAACATGACCAGTACAGCATGTTCATTTGTAATTAAATAAATAAAAAGAATAGTATCTCAGCATCATCTAAAACCCCAAAAGTGAACCCTGGAGTCACGGAGGTGAAACCTGCGCCAACCTCCTCGCCGGAAAACACAGTAAGTCGATCAAGGAGAGGATGGAGATTAGGACGAATGTTTGTGAACCAACGCTTGTAATTTGAGGGGGGGGGGAGGGGATGACATTACAGAGATAAGATGGGATCAGCAGCAGCGTGCTACAGTCACACACATGTGCGCAGACAGAAACGCATGACTGACCCTCAGGAATGCGTCCAGCGATCCGTTCTCCATGTACTCTGTGATAATCATCACGGGCTTACCTAGGGAGAGGGGGAGAGAGAGAGAGAGAGAGAGGCAGATGATTATGGGGGCAAACGATGCACATCACAGCAGGGAGGTTCTCCAGGGAATGTGTGTGTGTGTGTGAGTGTGTGTTAGGCCATCCATCTCTGTCCCGTAGTGATTTAATTAGCTCCGTGTTACGGTTGCCCTGACGCCCCTCGTCTTCCCCTGCACATCCAAAGGCATTTCTACTGTAATGTAGAAGCTTTTAAACAACAACTGAAGACCCATCTTTTTACATTGGCTTTTGATTCTACTTGAGATGTGAGTGATGTGTTCTGTTCTTATGTTTGTTCCTTTCGGGACTCTGCGTGGTCATTGTTGTACTGATGTTTCTGTGGTCTTAATTTTAACTTTTGTTCTTTCTTGTGAAGCACTTTGTGAATTTGATTTCTGTGAAAGGTGCTATACTGTAGTGAAGTACATTTACCCAATGTTTGTACTTTAGCACGATGTTGGCTTACTTGTTCTTTACTAGGAGTATCTTTTGTGTGTTTACGCAAATATGAACTGACGTTGGACGCATTATCCGAGTCTCATCACAGTCACTCACCCTCTAGCTATTTATGTCCCTCGCTGTCTCTTTGCCCCCTTTTTCTCCTCTGTCACTCTCCTTTCTATCACTTTCCCTCTTTCCCCCCTGATCTCTGGCCTCTCTCACCCCATCCCTCTGTCTTCCCATCTCCTGTCTCATGGGGAAGCGTCTGTGTCTTTATCTGAGTCTGGGCAGGCTGTAGGGAGGGTGGACTTTCCCTGGTGGGTCTGTGTCTGTCTTTGTCCATAGGATAAGGGGGGATAGCGGTCATGAGGAGAGGAGAAAGAGAGAGGGAAAAATGAAAGGAAGGAAGGGTGTTTTTGTCCTAAAATGGCAGCAAGCTGGTGTCTAACCCGCCATGAACAACACGTGCTAAAAAAAGTGCTGCTACAGATTCCTCCTGGAAAAGTGCTGGTCTTTGCGTTTCCATTTCACGTGACACAGTCAAGGTGGAAATGCAGATTTAACGCCAATGCAGAGGGGTAGGTGAAATGCACCCTGGGAGAAGGTCTTGAAGGTGAAGTTCCTCCATCCACGGCAGGATTTTTGCCAAAAGGCCGTCAGTCACCGCCTTACCCGCCGCGTGATTGGCACCCCATTAATTACAGGACGCTGCGGCGATGCCCCCAAAAAAGAGGAAGTTGAGTTGGAGACGGGGGAGAACGGAGTTCTTTGTCAGCCATCTTTGTTCCCTTTGTTGCACGTCTGTGCCCCCGGGCTGCCGGTGATTGACAGCTCCCCAATCAAGTCTGAGGAGCGTCTGACCTGCGACCTTAAACTCTCGCCTCCCTAGCCCCGCCCCCTTCCTCCCTCACCATTTGCATGCTAATTCCGTGTTTACTGAAAACGCCCTGCCGCCTTTGGCAATGAACTCTGGGCGAGGGGCCGATTATCACCTGCCAACAAAACAGGGGAAGGGGAGAAGCGCAACACGGGGACCATATTGGAAGAACGTTGGACAAACGCTCTCCAGAGGCCCCGGCGTTTGCAGCGAACAAAGATCTGGCTTTTTAAACGCAGATCTTTTTTAAATTAGCACACTCTCACTTTTATGTAAATCAGATGTTAAACACATCCCAAGCTGTAACGGGGGCTGGATTTTAATTACACACTAGCATGATGGAAGCTTACACAGGCTCCAAGATGGTGGACTACAGCCAGCAGTCCCTGGTGAGAGATTTCAGCACATTTATGTATTTCGGTGTCGATTTGGAGTTCCTCCATAATTAATGAGGCTTAATTGTCTCTGCTGGACATGCCAGCATACTGAGGCCAGATTGAGCATTCCTTTTAACTTGATTGTAATGGAGACGGGAGTGCCATTCAAATAATGGATTTTTAATAGATTCTGCAAACACACTCAAGTGTGAAGGAGTAATCTGCCCCGACCTAGTGTCAGGCTCTCAGAAGTAAGAGTGGATGGAGATGGAGGTGGAGCTGTTGATCCTCTTGCGTTAGATATCCCTCTTTCATGTTGAATCCTGTCTCTGCAGTCGCTCTTCTGTTTCTCCTCCTCTGTCTCGCTCCGTCTCTTTCTCTTTCAGCCTCCGCTTCAGTGCTTCTACCTCCGCTTTCCCTCTCTGTCCTTCCCACTGTTGTTCTCTGTCTGTCGTCCAATCCATCAGCCACTAACCGCCTTCCTGTCTCTTCCTGTCCGCATCTCTATTCGCACCTTCGCTGTCTGCTGCTCGTCTCCGATTTCTTCCCCTTCCTCCTGTCCATCTGTCTGCCTTCTCTCTTGTTTTCCTCACGAGGTCTGAGAGGTCATTCCCCGTGGTGAGAGGTGTGAGAGGTGATAAGCAATTCTGCCTCTGCCGCTGTTCACTTTCAGCTGTGACTGAATGTGTTTATGTGTGTGGTGTGTGGTGTGTGTGTGTGTGTGTGTGTGTGTGTGTGTGTGTGTGTGTGTGTGTGTGTGTGTGTGTGTGTGTGTGTGTGTGTGTGTGTGTGTGTGTGTGTGTGTGTGTGTGTGTGTGTGTGTGTGTGAGAGAGACACTGTTATCTAGCACAGATAGAGGCAGGCTGTTGTGTCACGACACATTAAGACACTTCATCCATCTAACCCAGGCTGGCCATCAGCTATGGTAACACTCACGCACACATGTGTGCAATCAAAGGTGTGCGTACAATGATGTAGAAGGATATGTTGCAAGAAATATAACGTTATACAATGTAGTAAAGGACTATGTGATCATTATGGTTATTAATGTTAAGAGCAGATTGTGTGTGAACTCAAAACAAGGCCTCAAAAACTGAGGAAGGTTAAACGAGAAGGCCATTTTTAGTAGGTTCAGGTAAAGTATTCTTCTCATTCTCTGGAGTTAATGGGGTACGAAGTTACGATAGGAAAATGGAGAAACGTAAAACTCCCCTCTCATGTGCTAGAAAACTAAGAAGGGCAAGTGTTGGTCAATGTAGTGCAAATAACTCGCCCATGGACACGGAAACGTATGTGAAAAAGGGTTACAACAAAGAATAGGGGATGTGGTTTATCGTCGTTCAGCTCGGTCAGCCAATAGGAAACAAGGATGCTTTAGCTATAAAAATGCTAATACAACGTTTGTTCAACAGCATGATCCCGGGGTCTGCTCGGTCTTTGTTTTTTGTCTAAAATGAAGTTATTTTGCATCGTACTGTTCGAGTTTTAGGGCTACGAAATTGTCGAGAAGGAGGTCCGCACTCTTTAAGATCTCTTCCAACAACAAGACATCCAAAAAGCATGGTGTTAAAGGTAGGAGGAAACAAAGAGACGGAAAGGAGAGAGGGCCCAGGGCGGAGGGAGAAGTGGCCGAGCAGCAGCAGATAGAGGAGGGATAGGGTATCACTCCCTAACCCCAAACACATTTACAGCTGACACCATGATTAATGAGCCTGGTGCCCCGCTACAGGGCCTGTTCTTGGACCCATTAGACCCCCCCCCCCAAACTGCCCTGATACCTCTAAATCTCTAAATCTACCTCCCCCTTCCCAACGAACGCTAGACCCCTTCCATCTGGACAAAACCCACCTGGGGATACCCCGGATGGGACACGTATATGTAAAATACGGGACTCTTAGAACAGATGCAACACGAGTGGTCGTATATCACGAGACACTGTAGCTTTGCATGCATTAAAACACACACAAATGCCCCCAAAACACACACACACACACAGACACACACACACACACACACACACCTTTGGCTAGTAAAGATGGCTTTGTCCCTAAACCCACCCTTTCTCCAAAGTCACCCAAAACTGCAGACTGGGTTTGAAATGATTTATTGTTATGTGTTTAGTTTTTTTTAAAGGGAGAAAGGGGGACAGCAGAAATGAATGTCCTTTCTGTGTTATTATAATAAGAAAGTCATTGTGTGTGTGTGTGTGTGTGTGTGTGTGTGTGTGTGTGTGTGTGTGTGTGTGTGTGTGTGTGTGTGTGTGCGTGTGTGTGTGTGTGTGTGTGTGTGTGCGTGTGTGCGTGTGTGTGTGTGTGTGTGTGTGTGTGTGTGTGTGTGTGTGTGTGTGTGTGTGTGTGTGAGTATGATTGCAATTTCCTGAAGCAATTTCAATTCCCCAAAGGTGTCTTGAATGACAAAAGCGCCAAATTATGTTCTCCAATTATTCGGAAATGGAAAGAAGTCTCACTCTAAATTGTTTTGTGTGTAGAAAAAGTTTCTTGCTTGACATACATTTGGTGACCACGCCCTCCAGGTGGATGATGTTGGGGTGGTCGAACTGGCCCATGATGCTGGCCTCGGACAGGAAGTCCCGCCTCTGCTTGTCTGTGTATCCGGCCTTCAACGTCTTGATGGCCACGCAGATTTCTCTCTTGCCCGGCATCTTCAGGCGGCCGCTGCACACCTCTCCAAACTCCCCTAAAACACACACACACACACTCGGGTTAAAAATGATGACACACTCTCAAGATTCAAGATTCAAAGATTCAAAGGTTTTATTGTCATATGCACAAAGCTACAGTGTGGAAATGGCAATGAAAATCGTGCGTTGATTAAACCGTATTTGATTACTCTGATACTACAGTGACGGCCCGTCCACACAGCGGCGTGCGTTGAAGCTTGCCGGCGGGCGTGTCTGAAACTCGACCAACAACCAATCACATGAATCTCCCGCCCCGGACACACAAGCAGCGGTTTGATTGGCTAGAGCTTGTACTGGCATATGATTCGATTGGCTGACGCTTCTGCCGAGGCTTCAAAAGTTGAACATTGCTCAACTTTTGCAGCGAGCCACGCCAGCAAAGCTCCGCTTCGCTTCCCACAATGCAGTTCGGCGAAAAGTGACGTCACCCCATTCATAAGTGAATGGTGAAGCTTTCAACGCACGCCGCTGTGTGGACGGGCCGTAACTATAAATCACATCACGAAGGGAGTGTGTGTGTGTGTGTGTGTGTGTGTGCAAGTCAGAAAAGGACTTCTTTAGACATTGATCAGGGTCTCTAATCCCTCTCTCCCCCCCCCCTCCCCTCGCCCACTGGAGCAGAGAGCGAGGGGGAAATGGGTATTGATTCTTTCTCTTCATGATTTTGTCATTGGATGACTTTTCTCTGGCCACAGGAATAGAACGGACAACATATTTAGCCTCCTTTGTTTTTTTCCACTCGTTGAAATATTATTGTCTCGGAAAACAATGGTTTGTATTCTCAAGGAGGGAATGTAAAGCCACAAGCAGACAGGAATCCCTGGGAAAGATATACTGGCTGCAGAGAATTTGCATGATATGAATATAAAATGTTATTATTATCCCAATAAGTGGATGCTTGTTGCTATCGTGGCTCGAAAATTGTGGAACAAACTCCAAATTAATATAAGGACTAAAGAAGGGCAGATTGATAACCCACCTGTTTCCTTTCCACCTTGGCCATTAAATAAAATATATATATTACTTCTGTACAAATCACCGACAATGGTTTGGATCATTCAAACTTATGAATCTACAGCAGGGGTGTCAAACTAAATTTCATCACGGGCCACGTAGGAATTATGGTTGCACTCAAAGGGCCGGTTGTAACTTTAAGACTATATCAAAATACATATATAAATGATATTACATTATTGCATTGGATTATTATCTGATAGGGTAGTAACTTCATAATTAACTACGTCTGAAAGCAGAAGTCTAGGGCAAGTAATTGCAAGTCTCTTCAGTGAGAATGTCACAAAATGATTTAAAAAGAAAAGCCAAATTCTGGGAAAAAAAGTCAAAAAAATTAAAAAAGTGACATTTTGAAATAAAAGTGACATTTTGAAGAAAAAAAACTGACATACCAGCCATGTAACCCTATAATAAACATATTATATTCTTTCAGAGCTCTTGTGGGGCCTTGAGTTTGACACCCCTGATCGACAGGATTCTTGGTTTTTTTGAGTTGCTATCTTCACGGTTAACTGCACTTATTGTAAGTTGTTTTGAGAAATAGCGTTAGAAGAGTGTCCAAAAGTTCGGTACAGCAAAAACTCCCCGAAACACTGCTTCTAAAACAATCGATTTGAAATGTGATTTAAAATGTAAGACGCTGGATAAAGAACAAAGTATGTCTGCTTACCGATGCCAATAACTTTTTCGATCTTGATACAGGAGGCGTCAATCTCCTTGGCGAACTCTCGGACGGCTTGGTTGGGGTCCTCGTAGGTGAAGGGGTCAACGTATATCCTCACTCCTGAGGAAAGGAAGGAAGGAAGGAAGGAAGGAAGGGAAAAAACAAATGAAGAAAGGATTGAAAAATGAAGGTTGATTCATTCCTGTATGTATCTGTTCTTTATTTCCATCATGCTGCAGGCTACACCGCCTTCCTCTACCTCCTCTTCCTCCTATTCCTTCCTCCCCTCCATACCTCGCCTCACCCTCTTGACTCCATTGCTGTTCTTGTCACTATGGCTGACTCCGAAGAAGATGGAGCTCATTAACTTAAACATTTTTTTTGTGGGATGCAAATAACAACACTGATGACTTGATAATGAGGTGTTTGGAGAATGTTAGGATGCTAGTACATTAACTTCCAAAACATTAACTTTTCCCACATTTTATGGGCTTCATTTGCGGGTGAGAGTGGATGCACATGAACGCAGATGACAGCACTAATGTTTTTCAATTATGGAGTGTGTAGGTGTGGGGTTTAAAGTGTGAGTTACCTTGATGTAAGTGCTTCTCTTCGTCAGAGTCCTGCTTGGCCTTGCTGTATTTATTCCTTCTGGGGGCAAAAACAGCAGGACGGTCAACGTACGACTTCAAATGTCAAGTACAAAAAGCAACTCATTTAAAAACACAGAATAACCCTCTCATTAGAGTCTAGAGCAGGGGGGTCAAACTCAATTTCATCACGGGCCACGTAGGAATTATGGTTGCACTCAAAGGGCCGGTTGTAACTTTAAGACTATATCAAAATACATATATAAATATTTAATATATATAAAATAATGCATTATATGACATTATTGCCTCTGCATTGGATTATTATCTGATAGGGTAATAACTTCATAATTAACTACGTCTGAAAGCAGAAGTCTAGGGAAAGTAATTGCAAATCTCTTCAGGGAGAATGTCACAAAATCATTTTAAAAGAAAAGCCAAATTCTGTGAAAAAAAGTAAAAAAAAAAAGAAAGTGACATTTTGAAATAAAAAAGTGACATTTTGGGGAAAAAGTGACATTTTGAGGAAAAAGTGACATTTTGAAGAAAAAAAACTGACATAAAAAGAAAAGTCAAATTCTGAGAAAAAAGGCATATTTTGAAGAAAAAATTTCAAATTCTGAGAAAAAAGTCAAATTTGAGATGCATTGTGGGACATGTAGTTTATGGGCAACGTGCTTCTGTAAATCGCCATGTAACCGTATAATAAACATATTATATTCTTTCAGAGCTCTTGTGGGGCCACAGAAAATGAAGTCGAGGGGCCGGATTTGGCCCCCGGGCCTTGAGTTTGACACCCCTGGTCTAGAGGGCTGGAGGTAATCGGAAATGCAAAGAAAGAGTTCAAATCATGGTATTTCACAACTCTACTGCATGTATTTGTACAGAGTTATTGTAGTTGGACCATCGATTGAATTGAATTATTTGTAAACGTTGGGATATCCAATAACATTTGAAATGGTAAAAGTCGGTTGGTTTTCAGAATCCAAATATCTAGGTTCACTTTTTAAGACAATAAGAAGCAGTATTTAAAAAATGACAAAGGTCAGTGAATATATAAAGTATTGGAGGAGACTGTAACGTTTACAGATTGAAAATAAATAAACTCTCAGTAAGAAAAATGGAGCCATTGTATGTGTATTTCCCAACGTTTTTTTAGTTTTCTTTAACCATCATTCAGTGGGGCACATTGATCCCAAAGAAAATAAGTTGCTGTAAGTAATATTGTCGTAAGGTTTTATAAAGTTTAAGACGGATTATTCAAGTTTAAAATTTTAAAAGTGTATGGCGAGAAAACATAAATAAGCTACCATCAGCCTTCAACTTAAAATGAACCTCCATGGCATTGGTCTTTTGTCGAATAATAACAATACACAAGTGTCACTTCAGTAATTAAAACTCAAACCAAGAGTCCATACCCACTTATCAATCAATTCAAGTATACGAAATGGGGACACAATCACTTATCAGACATTGATATGTTGTTAATTAATTATTCAAATGTGCCAGACAGAAACAGCTCTTTACTTAATGATATATGGAGAATTTTTACTTTTGATAGTTTAGGTATATCTCGCGGACAATAGGTC